TTCCTCATTTAATCCCACCACTGATATTTGCCTAATGTTCCTCCTGGATATCTGTTCACTGAAGGGATGCACTTTTCCCCAACTACTCCAACTGCAGATCTATCCAAATCAGGCCAGCTCACTTCAGAATGTAACCTGAATGACTTCAGATGCTGAGAGACAGCAAATGTGCCATCAGCACAGTCACTGCACCCCAGTGTAGATGGGTCGCATGCACAGAAGTAATGTATTTTGCATGCATATGTGGGCATGCCAAGAAAGATACTATTCAACTTGGGTCTTACCTTTCATCATATGGAATCCTGGCTGTCTTCATCAAATTTTGTCTGAGAGGCTGAGCATGGAGGGTCACAAAACAATAAAAAGCAAGGAGCTAGTGGGGGGCATTTGTACTGAAAGTCAGCCAGTACTATAAATTGGATGAATTCATGTATACCACAGCATTGTAAGAGACTATGCATTAACTGCAAGGGGTGTTTGCATTGATTTGTAGTTTCAGTAGCTTCCCTTTTTACTTTTTTCCCCTTTGAAAGGATGAAAACCGTTGGACTGAGCCCATTTGAAGAGAATTTTTGTAACTTGCTGTACAAGAATATGATGAGCTGGACAACTGTTGAAACTTACCTCTCCAGTTCCTCCTTCCAGTTGCTCAGAACGGACAGAGGGCAAAGGATCAGAAACCTCTCTTTGTTCGTTAATTTTTTTGACAAATAAAGAAGTAGAGAAATAGTCTAGAAGGCAAGGAAAATATTTTTTTTTATAATAAGAAAATGGTTAAACCCAATAGCCTGAACCTACATAAACTGTCTACCTCTTGAACTTTGTAGCTGGTTCCCACAGGGTCTCTAGCACAAAGCAGAGCTAAGAGAGCGTCAGGTGAGATCCACCAACAGCGACAGAAAAGCTTAGACCCCCAAATGTGACGTTGATATCTGGAGCCCCTTTTCAAAGACTTTTCTCCACAGTCACAAAAAAGAAGATCTCATCACTCTCTAAAACCATCAGTTTGTTATTTAAGACCCATTGAACATCACCAGCTGAACCAAAGCACAAACATTCATTTTCGAACAGAACTGAAACCTGTTTAAAAACTAACCAAAAAAAAAAGAGCAGCACTGAAAAATGTACACTTGTAAATTTTAAACTGTATGTTGCCAAACATCAAAATCATCTTGCTGCAGGTGCCTCAAAACATAATCCTCTCTGTACTGGCTGTGTATTGTCCCTTCAACTCTGCACACTATGAATTACACATTCAGATGTGTGTGTAAAATGACCACTCATCTTTTTATAAAATCCTTTCTGAAGTGCCACTTGGGAGCTAACAGGGGTTTTAAGCAATTAAGGTATGCAAGAAACAATGAGCTCTCTTTTGATTATGGACTTCAGGATGAGGCTGCTTAACTGCCCAATCATTAGGGCAATTTTCTTTTCATTCTGCAGGAACATTGGGCTAAATTAGGCGAAGATCATTTTCCAGAAGAGGAAGATGACAACACACCTGGCAAGTCTTCCCAAGACCCATCTCATCGCCCAGGATACAGCCACGCTGGACTTCGTAGCATTGCACCAGCCAGTTTACACCTTCTATTTGATAGGGACGAAGCTTAATGCCTGGGGATAAAAGCAATCTGTTACATTTACACAGTCATCCAATACACTCTATGCACAGTTACACCCTGAAGCCAGCAGGAACAGGTCCTGCACAACCAGGCCATCCCAAACAACTGCCCTGCAGGAAAAGCACAACAGTTGTCAGCAAAGCTGGTTTATCCTGCCGGAGAGCAGAGATGCTGTGTTACAGAAAATCCATTACATTAAACCATGTTCAGGAACTTGTACACGAAAAAATGCATCAAGTCATTACAAAGGCCTGTAACAAGGACTCGAATCTGATAATTAAACCACTACGTTGCATTCCTAAAAGATGCCTTGATTTTCAGCTCCAGCTACTTAAACTTAAGTATGTGCTACATCCAGGGTCACACTTTAGGCTACTGAAAATGTCTGTAACACTCTATTATTGTAGAATAACCATTTCTCAACCAGATGTTTTCCAGCTTTCCTACGCTTAAGCTAGGACAGACCTGAAGTGTAGGTGGCTGCAGCTGCTACCACCACTGCAATCCCTATTATAGGGCACAACATATAAAACCAGACACGAAACAAGCCAAGGAGGAGTTCCCAAGACCTTCCCTTGGACTCAAGTGCCCGTGTATTGTTAATAACGTTGTGCCATTGCCGCCCTCTCTTCCCTGGGGAAAGCTGCACGCTTGAACGCGGGAAGTAACTCACCAGCCCGCAGGGAACAGAAACCCAAACGAGCACAGGGCTTGAATTGCGGGCTCCCCGCAGCTGAGGAAAAGGGGGGAGCAGGCCGGCCAGCCCAGGCGCTCCCCTCCAGCGCCGGCCCTTCAGGCAGCGGGGCTCAGGGAGCCAAGCCCCCGGCCTAGCCACCCACCGAGCCGCAGAGCCGGGGAGAGCGGGGCTGCAGCAGCCGGGGAAGGTTTGCTCGGAGCGGAGAGCGCGGCAGCAATGCCGCTCTCC